AGAAAGCCGACGGCACGGCTGGGTTTATTAATCAATAGAAAGAGGTACAAGAGAACGACGGCGGCTCGGAACAAGAGAGGAGAGACGACGGGGCTTTGTGGACCACCGTGGTTCATCCAAGACGAGCCGGCGACAAGAGAAGAAGAAGAATAAGGCGCAAGAGATAGGTGAATGTGGGGGTTCCTGTTCTGGTCACTCAAGGGAGCCGGCGAGGTCCTTTATTAAGCCGAAAACTCACCAAGGTGACCAACAAGTGGTTCCCATGATTCCCTCCTCAAGATCCTCATTCGAAATTCAAAATTCAAGTTTGAAATTCAAATAACAATGACTAGGTCAGCTAAGGAGATAGAGGGGACGCTTGGGCCAAGAGATGGCCATGAGGAAACCCATCGGGCTCGTCCATGAACTTGTCATGGACCAAGACCATGGGTTTCGGCCATTCTTGGTCACAGGCCGTCCTGGACATGGCTTGGGCTTGGCTGCGACTTGGACTGGAGCTGGAGGGATGCTGGAGGCTAGGCGTGATGGGCCGAGGCAGGTCCGAGGTCCATGGCGCGTCGTGGCCCGTGCACGAAGTTTCTCGGACAGGCTCGCAAGTCTCGCTCGGACAGGACCGAGGTCCGCTGCGCAAACCCTAGAATTGATCTCTTAGGAATAGGATTCGCTCTAGAGATCCCAGGATTTGATTCAGACGATTAAAAGTCTGAAAGAGGTATTATCTACCGAGGAGTGGAGGTACTTCAACGAGGATTCACAGTTTCGTCACATATTCCATTTGAAATGTGACGAGAACATGAAGATGTTGCTTGTGTCAGTCCTCCTACACCGAACGCTGAAGTTAGAGGAGGAAAAAGAGCAGTTATGGTTTGTTTTAAATGGCGTTCCTATCAGATACTCTATAACCGAGCACGTCATTATATCAGGATTGAAGTGCAACCAGTATCCGGAAGATTGAGAAGGGCGCAGAAAAAATGATTTTCGAATAAAGACCTTCGGACCTGGGAAGGTCACTAGGAAAACAGTTCTGGAAAAGTTGCAAAAGAGTAAACACAGTCGGATTGACAGAAAGAGATTGGCGACACTGATGTTACTATCCGGAGTACTCGACCACGGAAAAGAAGCGATGACTCTATCAACCATGATTTGGTTGATATGGTCGATGAACTTGAGTTATGCGAAGAATTTCCGTGGGGAAGGTACACATTCGAGAAAATGGTGGAACAGTTGCGGAAGATTTTACAAAATCCTACACCGAAGGAGAGATGGCGGTTGTCTGGATTTGTTGTCCCTCTCATGGTGCTTCCATTCGAATGCATCGAAACTCTTTGCGCGAACGGTTGGTGCACTACTGTTGAAGATGTCGATCCAAGCTATCCCAGGATGTGCAAGAAGCTCATCTCTAACCCCAAATGGACTTTCGGGACGGTGATGAAACAGATTGGCAACAAAGCAAAGGTACATCACAATGGTCTCACTGGTCACACCGTTTATATTTTGTATTTGGTCACACTGGTCACGTTGGTCCCACTGGTCACGTTGGTCCCACTGGTCACAATGGTCCCACAGATCACACCGTTTATGTTTTGTATTCGGTCCCACTGGTCACGGTTGTCCCACTGGTCACGTTGGTCTCACTGGTCACATTGGTCTCACTGGTCACGTTGGTCACACTGATCACGTTAGTCCCAGTGGTCACGTTGGTCACACTGGTCACGTTGGTCACACTGGTCACGTTGGTCCCACTGGTCACATTGGTCCCACTGGTCACGTTGGTCAACTGGTCCCACTGGTGATGTTGGTCACACTGGTCACGTTGGTCACACTGGTCATGTTGGTCACATTGTTTATGTTTTATATGTGGTCACACTGGTCACGTTGGTCACGTTGGTCACACTGGTCTCACTTGTCATATTGTATTCAACTGTTGTGATTTGTTTTCAGGGTATTCGAAGTATTCTTACAGTAGAAAGTAGGGAAGAGGAATCACTTCTTGCAAACGTCGATGAGGAGGTTGGATGAATCAACTGAAGGTCGATCCAAAAAGCATTTGTTTTTAGCATATTCGTGCTCTTGATATCGATGCGAGGGGAGCTGCTTCCGATAAGAAGGCAGAAGAGAAGGAGAAGAAAAAGAATCGAGAAGAAGAAGAAGAAGAAGAAGAAGAAGAAGAAGAAGAAGAAGAAGAAGAAGAAGAAGAAGAACATGGAAGAAAAAAAATAAAAAAGGGAAAAAAAGGTGAAGAAAAAGGTTCTGAAAGGAGGTTGATGGAGGCGATAAATAAAAAAGGGAAAAAAAGGTGAAGAAAAAGGTTCTGAAAGAAGGTTGATGGAGGCGATTAAGGTCTCTGAATTGAGGATCATAGATTCAGTGAAGCAGATGATAAGGAAAGCAGGATTTCTGGTGGATGAAGAACCTTTTGAGAATGTGTATTCTCCACATTCACAAATACATTCTTCAAAGATGGTGAGGATGTGCATACTCCCTGTTCACAGAGACAGGGAGAAGGGAATGAAGATGTGGGTAGTAGAAGCTCATCAACGAGTGATTACTACGCTGGCAAGGATATGCCTTACCATTTTAAAGCTCGTGCTGGGGCTGTGCGTAGTGAAGAAAGTGATGATGAGGGCGATGCGGTGTCTAATACCCCCCCATAGCCTTAGAAGGGGGGTTGCAAGTCTAAAGGTTCTTGAGGAAAATGTACAAGGAGAAAATGATGAAGGGATGGCTGGAAACCCTATGGAAGTGGACTTTGCTACCAAAGACATCGAGTCAGCTGCTGCCCACGTCCCCGAGGACCCTAATGCCCAAGCCACCGAGGACATTGCTGCCCACGTCTCCGAAGACCATACTGCCCACGTCTCTGAGGACCCTAATGCCCAAGCCACCGAGGACATTGTTGCCCACATCTCCGAGGACCCTACTGCCCAAGCCACCGAGGATCCTGCTGCATTTGCCCCCAAGGACCCTGAGAACCCTGATAACAATGTCCCTGAGGACAAGGTACCCGAGAATCCTGATAACACTGTCCCTGAGGACAAGGTACCCGAGAATCCTGCTGCATTTGCCCCCGAAGACCCTGCTAACATTGCCACTGAGGACCCTGCTGCAGTTGCCCCTGATGGCAAGGAAGCCCCTGAGGCACCGGAACAGAAGGATGAAGAGCGGCAACAGGGCCGAGAACCAGGGGAGGAAGAACGACAACAGGGCCGAGAACCAGGGCAGGAAGAGTGGCAACAGGGCCGAGAAACCAGGGGAGGAATAGCGGCAACAGGGCTGAGAACAAGAGGCCGAAGAAGAAGATATGTATCACCTGTGGTAAGCGACGAGGAAGAGGAAGAGAAACATGAAAGGGAGGAAGAGAAAGTTGAAGAAAAAATGGAGGTTGAGAAGGTCACAAAACGCGAAGAGGAAACTGAAAAGAAAGAAGAAGAAGAAGAGATAAAGGATGAGAAAAAAGAGGCGCCAGAAGAAGAGATAAAAGAGGAGAAAAAAGAGGCGCCAATACAAGAGGAGAAGGAAAAAGTGGAAGGAAGTGTCAAGAAGCGACGCCCTATATTCATTTGGCAACCCACTGTGGTTATGGGTAGTGTGCTTCGGATACCGAGCTTTGTCCAAACATGCACTCTGAAGGCGACAGGGCTCTATAATTTTATGAAGATGAATCGTGCGGATCGGCTTTGGAAGTCAGAGATTGATTATTTGAGGAAACCAAGGTTCTGGGAAGACCTTTTGCAGGAGCGGGTCTGGCTGAAAGATGGGGTAAGTTCATTTCTCTTATATCTTTCAATTATTCATTTGGTCACTTTGGTCACTTTTGGTCACATTGGTCACTTTTGGTCACTTTTGTTAACTTTGGTCACGTTGGTCCCACTGGTCACACTGGTCACTTTGGTCTTCTTAATGCGATCTGACGTTATTTTTAGCACTTGGACGAAGCTGTACTTGAAATCAGGAATCGCCTGGCCAAAGAAAGTTGTCCAACATCAACAAAATACATGATTGACGACACAAGTTTCGGCGAATTCCTCAAATGGTGGGGCCATGGTACTATGACCGATTTGAATGGGCTTGAGGACTACTTTGATGGAAAAGCACCGGTAAGGTGTGGGGATCGCAGGATGGGAAGTTACGAAGGATTTATCACTCCCCTCAGCATACCCTCGTTGGTCAATCCTGATGTAAGTGTGCATTGGGTGGCCATTAGATGCATCCCTATGAAGAAGCTGATTCAGGTATTTGAGTGCAACCTCAAAATGAGGCCGAATGTTGACGCGATTATTGGCCGGTTGGTGTGGTAGCTCCAAAGATATATGTGGTCGCCAAGATATACCAATTTGATGAAAGCACCACATTTGACTACCATTACGTCGAAGGGCTGCCTCAAAATGGTAACGGAGATGACTGCGGTGTGTTTACCATCATGTACCTTGAAGCCCTGATGTGAGGTCAAGAAAGAATACTATGCAATCAAATTTGCGATGAAAATAGTTCATCGATTCGTGAGAAGATTGCTGCGGATATCTTCTCAAATGGCCAGATTGTGAGTCTTGCTCCCGATGTAAGTCGTGACGATTCCTCCCTAGATGCAAGATAAATTATGATATTTCTTGTATTTTGTTTGAACCTTTGAACCTTTGACTTTATTTTTTGTGTTAGATATTTTCTGAATGTTTAAATATTTTGAATTTATTGCGGGAAAGTTTAAATTTTCGGAATTGTATATCGGCCAAAATTTTGGAATTCGGTTGACGGGATTTTTAAATTTTTTTAAAAAAAAGCAACCTCGGAAAGTGGAACTGCTTTTGTGCAGAATCAGATGTGTGGGCCCGCTGTAAATGGTATTGGTGCACATCTCCCCATAAACCTAATTCCAACTTCATTACCCCAAACCAGAAATTCAAGTATCCAGACCAGAAACCCTAATACTAAACCGGAAATGTAATCCCCTAAACCGGATTTGATCACATTCCGACGGTCCCACTGGTCCCACTGATCGAATTTCACGAATTCAATGCTTTGGGAGTGTAATGTACGATCATACAAATGGTTCGGAGGAGAAACCGGGGTTGAAAGTCGTTGAGCATTATTCCATCGAAAGCTATGAACACAAAACGAATCCCATAAGTGTTAGTAGTGTTTTAGGAACACTTTGGATCAAAGTAACTTTGTGTTCGGAAATTTTTTGTTCAAACCGCTTACGAGATGTTAGTTTGAAGTGTAATTACATCGTTTCACAGCGCACCAACCTTGTTTGGCTCCCCTGTTCACTTTTATCACATCCTGGCGGTCCCAATGGTCCCACTGGTCCCACTGATCGAATTTCACGAATTCAACGCTTTGGGAGTGTAATGTACGATCATACAAATGGTTCGGAGGAGGAATCAGGGTTGAAAGTCGTTGAGCATTATTCGATCGAAAGCTATGAACATAAAACGAATCCCATAAGTGTTAGTAATGTTTTAGGAACACGTTTGATCAAAGTAACTTTGTGTTCGAAAATTTTTTGTTCAAACCGCTTACGAGATGTTAGTTTGAAGTGTAATTACATCGTTTCACAACGCACCAACCTTGTTTGACTCCCCCACAGTTGATTTGGTTCACTTTTATCACATCCTGACGGTTCCACTGGTCACACTGGTCCCACTGGTCCCACTGATCGAATTTCACGAATTCAACGCTTTGGGGGTGTAATGTACGATCATACAAATGGTTCGGAGGAGGAATCGGGGTTAAAAGTCGTTGAGCATTAAGAGTGTATTGAACTTCGAATAAAATTACATTGTTCAAGAGGAATACAAGTTACATTTAACGCAGACTAATTACGTGAATAATTTAAAATTTGTTCTTTTTGACGAATCCGATTGTGAAAATGACGATGTTGAACTTTGGGGTCTTTTACGAGCCTCGCCAGGTCCAGGGAAACGATTCTGTTTAGGTCTTCCGGTCTACCGTTTTTCTTCCATTATAGGCGGCATCACTGAAAAATTTAAAATTTCGGGCGGGACAACCCAATCACAAATATCGGGCACCGGATAGAGAATCTCTTGGTAAGCCTTGACCCAAGTCTCTCGCCATTAGTATTCAGAGCATAATTCGTGAATTGCAGTACCTTTTTCCATCTTATGTACTGCTATAATTGCATGACTACATAGATACCTGTCCACATCAAACTTTTTGCAACTACAGGTTCTATCACCAAGATTTACCAAGTTTCTTCTACCTTTTTCATCCCTTGCCTCAAACATTCCACTCAACCTGTTAAGTTCAATAACTTCATACGTACAGGCCTTCTCAAACCGTTCATGCAGCACTTTGTACACATACGGAGTTAACTTTTGAGAATCATCAGCACCACATGCTTCCACCCTGTACCTACTGAACCATTCTGCCGTCTTCGAGACACAAATATCAAGCAGACTGAGTAGCGGATACCTTTTGGCCTTCTTCAAAACGGAGTTGATTGATTCGGCACCATTGGTGGTTAATAAGTTGTATCTCTCAGTCCGAAATTTATACCTCGCCCACTTCTCCGGAGCAAGTTCTTCTTTTTGCACGTACTCCGCCGCTTTGGGATACCTGAAAATCATGAGATATTCACATCAGTTTACTCAAGTCACACCGTTGAGAAAATCACACTGGTCCAGTTGGTCCAAGTGGTCACACCGTTGAGAAAATCACACTGGTCCAATTGGTCCCACTGCTCACTAAATTCATACTTGTTCTTGAAATCAGAGAGAATTCTTCAAACTCCTTCTCCCTGTATTCCGATGCACATTTAAAAAACAATTTAGCCACGGTTTCACCTCTTGAACCCTTTCTTCCGGCTCCCCTATTAACATGTGATTTCAAGTTTTGCGATATGTGCCTTGCACAAAAACCATGATCAGCTTGTTTATATACTTCTCTTACAGCTTTCATTATACTTTTATGCCTATCGGATATCAGAACCACATCAGGTCCATCTAGTATTACTTCGCTCAACCTATTCATAAACCACCTCCATGAAGCGTCTTTCTCTCTATCGATCACACCCCATGCTAAAGGATATTGGTGATGTTCTCCATCCTGTGCGGTTGCCACGACCAATGCTCCCTTGTATTTGCTTGTCAAAAATGTCGCATCAACAGCAACAACTTTACGCATATACTTCCATCCTTTTATAGTTGCACTTAACGCGATAAATAGGTACTTGAAGCTTTTCTGATCATTGTCCAACTCAAGACGCACTATGGATCCAGGATTTCTTTCTCTCAGCATGTACATCCACCCAGGAAGCCTCATGTAATGATCGATATGATTACCACGAATCTCTTTTTCAGCACTGTGCTTCCCTCTCAATGCCATCAAATACGAAACAGTTGCCCCGTACTTGGTTTTCGTTCGTCATACTAATTCTGGGGCAGCAGGAGTTTCGAGGATCCCAACATATTCTTCCTTCAAATAATCTCTAACCAAATTCGATGAACCCTTCATAGCTTCTTCTGATTCTGAAACAGGTCTGCATATGTGAATTGGATTGTGTGTTCTTACGCTAAAACGATTCGAACTCGGGAGCGATGCGATGCGCAATTTCCAGTTACAACCTGATCCAGCAAACTTGCATCTTATTTCCCACAACTTCTTGTCAGACTTCACTGTAACATAGCTGAAACAAGCCTTAACTGAACCCTTTCGTATATATTCTTGTGCGTCTTGCTTATTATCAAATTCATACCCAATATCTATGTTCAATCCATCGGTAAATTCGAATACTGAAGTACAAAACAATGAGTCCTCCACAACTACCATGGCCATATCAGACGTGCTTTCAACTTGCATAGTCGTTGCACACTCCACTACAACCTTCTCATTTCCATCAAGTCCAGATTCACGGTCCACTAAATCTGTACCAATCTCATTTCGATCAACTACATACAAAACATAGAGTCCTCCACAACTGCCATGGCCAAATCAGACTTGCTTCCACCTTTCATATTCGTTGCACACTCCACTAAATCTATACCCATCTCATTTCCATCAAGTCTAGTTTCACGGTCCACTAAATCTGTACCCATCTCATTTTGATCCACTCCACTATCACAGAGAACATCGTTTACAGAGTCCACTAAATCTGTCGCATTTCCATTCGCTCCAATATATAAACTATTACTCCCAGCGTTACTCTTGAAATTTGGACTCTGGATAACATCGCAATCCTTATAACCTACACATATTATACTCCCATATAGTTCAACACGTTCCACGTAATCAGGAATTCTAAACTCATTTTCTGACCTCGGCTTTTCTATCTCCACGTGAAGCATGCTTCTGCCTCCATTCATTTTGTCCAGGAGATAAATTAAAACTTTTTATCATTCGATATGTAAATCGGCTCAGTACCTCCTTTTAAAGTCGGCAAATAGCTCAGCTTCATATCTGTTTTACTTTGGTCCGCCTTCATTTCAGAACATAACTCTTCAACAAGACGTTGATATTTCAATTCAGTTGGAGGACACATGAATATGACTCCCTTCCCATCCTTGACTTTTCCAACCCATTCATATTCCCTATTACCATTCAACACCCACTTTCCATCAGACTTGTAATAAATAATTGTGATTTTCTCGTCGACTGCGTCCATTATGCCTGTATAGAATAAGATTCGTAAGACACATGTGACTAGTGTGACCAGTGTGGCTAGTGTGAAGATTCTTCAATTAAACAGTGTAACCAACGTGACCAACGTGACCAGTATGACCAAAGTGACCAGTGGAACCAAAGTGACCATTGTGACTAGTGTGACCAGTGTGGCTAGTGTGAAGATTCTTCGATTAAACAGTGTGACCAACGTGACCAGTGTGACCAAAGTGACCAGTGGAACCAAAGTGACCAGTGTGACCAGGGGAACCAGGGGGACCAAAGTGACCAGTGTGACCAGGCGGACTAGGGGGACCAAAGTGACCAGTGGGATCAGTGACCAGTGTGACCAGTGTGAAATGTATATAACACCGGTTTTAGTGATATATATAAGAAAAATGAGGTCAGATCTATACACATGTGATGTCGAATTAAACCGAAAATAAATGTTGGGTTGTACGATGAGAACTTGCTTTTTTCCTAGATCTATACAGATCTGACTGCACTCCTGTGATTTGATGCGATTTCGACGGTAGATTCGCTGAGATTTCGCAGGTACATTCGGCGGTAGATTCTGTTTTTTTTTCGGCGGAAATTTATGGGGAGAGAAACGGGGAGAGAAACGAGAAGAGAGAGAAACGCGAGGCAAATAGAGGGATTTCGCCGGTAGATTCGCTACGATTTCGCCGGTAAGTTCTGCTTTTTTCTGGTGGGGAGAGAAGCTGGGAAACTGCGCGAGGAGAGAGAAACGAGAGGAGAGAGAAACGCAAATCGAGGGAGGGTTACAAAAAGGTGTTGAGGGTATTATGGAGACAACACATTTATAAAGGTATTGTCTGAAGATGTTTTTTTTCCGCGAAGACAGGGGTATACCGTGAAGTCTTTGTAGCAAAGTAAGGGCATTTTTGATAATGCCCCTTTTAAAAGGCAAAATAGCAAAAGTATCCTTACTTTGCTACAAAGACTTCATGGTATACCCTTCAAAACCCTAGGATTTTGAAAAAAAAATAAAAGGAACAAAAGACATAATTAACCTTTCAAAAAAGTAACGTAACCCCTCTCTCCCACTTACTTAGTCATTTTGAATTCATCTCTTTCGTTCTTTGATAACTCTCCATTTCTTTCTTAATTTTCTCTCTCTACTGTTATCTTTTCTCTCAACTCTTCCATTTTCCCCTTCTCGTTTCATTTTTATGCATAGAAAAACAAACGAAAAATGATTATTTCGTTGAACATATCTTCACCGACTTCATCTCTTCTTCTTGAGTCGGCCTAAGACAAGAAGTGAAGGTAAGTTCATTAATACAAGAGATTGGTTCGATGCATAAACTTTGTGTTTTGGGTTTTAGTTTTATGATTTTTAGAGTGAATCGTGTGGTTTTTTTTAATGAAAATGAGACAGATGCATAGCAAATCTGTCGAAGAATATGCAAGAGGCGTATATTTAATTTTAAATAAATGTTCGGAGCGATAATGGAACGGATTGACAACGAAAACAAAGGTACGTCACATTGGTTACACCGTTTAAAATTTAATTTTGGTCACACTGGTCATACTAGTCACTCTGGTTACACCGTTCAAAATTTAGTTTTGGTCACACTAGTCACACTAGTCACATTGGTCACACTGGTCACACTAGTCACCCTGGTCACACCGTTCAAAATTTAGTTTTGGTCACACTAGTTATATTGGTCACACTCGTCACACTAATCACATTGGTCACACTAGTCATACTGGTCACACCGAAAATTTTTAAAATTCACGCGAAAATATTTAATTTTTTGTGATGGAGGAAGTTTTAAAAATTTTAAAATATTTAAATTTTTTTCTAGGAAATCGAAAATTGCTTTTCACTACAAAAAAAAACCTGCATATAGCGACGGAATTTGCGACAGAAATTTCCGTTGCACAGAAAATTGCGACGAAATATGACGATTTTACGACAGAACGTGGAAAAAAATTATCCGTCGCAAACAGTCGCAAAATCCGTCGCAATTTGCTACGGTTTGCGACGGATAATTTTGTCACAACAAAGAAATAGATGATTTGCGACGGAAAATAAAAATTGCGACGGATTGCGACAGAATATTCCGTCGCAATGTATTTGGTTTCGGTTTTCGACGAAATTTTTTGAATTTTGGCGCGTAAATAAATTTCATTTTGTGACGGATTGCGACGGAAAATTCCGTCGCAAAACGCAATATAAAACCACGAGTCGTCTTCTTCATCA